GCGGAAGACTACGCTCTCAAAAGGATGAAGTTCTTTTGTTATTGTTATTTAAGGTCGCATCAACATCTAAGTCATTAGCGACCACTAACGGTATGGTATTTGCATTTAACGGTCATTAGCGACAACTAACGGTATGGTAAAGCACTGTAAAAACGGTACTGTAAAGATGACATGATATGATGACCACTATTGCGTGTAACGGTATGGTAACTATGAGGATTACACGATATGATGATGGCAGGGGGTGAAAGGAGGAACGCAAATACAACCATGCCCGAGACGGGACTCGAATACGCGATCCTTCGGTCCGAGACCGCTTCGGCACTACTGCCTTAAAGATATCTGCCACCGAACCGCTAGGATGAAGTTGATCCTCTTTTGCGAAAGAAACAGATCACATTGTTTGCCTTCTCCCGAGAAATTTAATCTGAATTTAACTCTGTGTTATTTTTAAAAATATTTTAAACAGTTTTGTTCAGTTGTTTTGCTTACATGCTTATGCCATATTGGGCAGTGGCTGTGCCTATCGATATAGTTTTCTAGAACATTTAAGAGTCAAGCAGGTGGTAGTGATAACTGCAATCACTTGTTCTGGCTTCATTGAAAGAAAGAGATCAGTGGGGGATAAAAAATGAACTGAATAATTGAAGAATCTTCATTCTTTCATTGCATTGAAAGTATAAGGACATTATCTTAGTTCAACAGATGGGTGTCGGGTACAAGATATTCTAAATATCTTTAAAACTCACCCGAATTTGCGGACTGCACTCAGAAGGTAAACCAAACAGTACATTTTGGCGGGTACTAATGATTTCAACAGTTCCAATTTTAAGGTTTAAGGCACCAGTAGTGGCTACTGTCTCAGTAGTGATAACTTTAACAGAAAAATTTGAAAAATAAAAATTGGACACTTTCCACGTGCTTCGAACTTGTGGAACGTGTATATTATATAGTCGTGGTGAGAAGAGCGGGCAATAGTGGCGAGGTGTAGAACGAACATGTTTTTTCTACTTTTATATTCAAATAATGCATTGGAATCATGTTATTAATATTGGCAGTTTAATAGTATATCACGAATTCGTCCTTGTTTGGATTAATGTATCTCAAACTAGTTCGAGACCAATGGTCCATTGACCATTGGTCAGTTACGTAGCTGACCGTCACCAAACTTTTGCAATTTCCACGTGGCCAATACTGAATCAAAATAGAATTTCTAAATAAGTTAATAATTAATAGAACCAATTGAAAATGGGTCATTTTTAGCCAAGGGATGTATTTAAAAGGAGAAATACTAATTGCCCACTTAATTTCACAAAGCGCATTTAGCACAAAAGCCCAAGAAACTACAAAAAATGGCCGCTACTGGTGCTTTTATCCTAAACGTTGTTTTAACTTTGAAGATACGTTAAAAATAAATCATGCATACAGGTACATAACAGTTGACGCTCTTATGTTCTTAAACTGACTGTGTTTTGTTGCGCTGGCCGCCGCCGCGGCTGCCGCCGCCTCTGCCGCCGCCGGCATCGGCTCCTTCGGACACCACCACGCCGCCTCCGCCGCCGCCGCCGCCGGCTTCGTCACCGCCACGCAGTCGCGCGCTCACCACCAGCCGCCCTTCTACTCCTGGTACTGACACTCCCCGCAGCCCGGCGCCCCGCCGCCACCTGCTGCACGACACGTGGACATCTGGCGGCCGCCGCAGAACACCAACCCGCCGCAATGGCCTGCGTTACCTGCCACGTACTCCACGGAAAATGCACAACTGAAGGCGGAAGCTGAATGGAACGCGTGTGACGAGGAGAGGCACATGTCTGACAGTGTGAAACTCGAGGGATAAAAATATAGATTAACCTGTTTAAACATGCGTTGTTGCAATGTAAATATAATGTTCACATTTTAACTCGGTGAGAAAGAACAATTTGGATGTTGCGTTGTTTCTTTGACTGGCCGTTAGGTCAGTTTACACAATTATCATAGAAACATTTTGTAATTTTGTAACTTTGTTGAGGGATCAACTACTGGAAGTGCCGTGAAATCTTGCTGCCGCCGCTACAGTGCGATTTGGTTTCTTTCACAGCGTGCTTCAACAGTGATTTGTGTAGAGACGTTCCTCATAATATAGACCAACCGCCCCATACATCACCAAGAAGAAATCGTAATTCGGATGTCCGTATATTATATAATCATCAGAACCTATCTTACAATTTCAACAGTTTTGTTAGTCATATTCGTAAAGAACTAAAAGTACTCGTAAACCAGAAACAACATACCTCATGACAGTAAGAAGACCACTCTTCTTCAATAAATGAGTGTGTAATGGTGCGTTGTTACCCCTTGAGCCTTAAAAGTGACCACAATGTGCTTTCATCAGATTCATGTCAAACATTTTACTGAGACATTCATTCTTCAACAAATTTACCCCTCAACAATCGGATATAAATATTTTTTCGTTATGAATACACTATGTCGAGCACACTATGTTGAAAGTATATTCAGTCATTTGTGATATTGGCAAACTTAATAGACCAAGAAATGATTGCACAGAATTTGAAGGTGATTAAAGCGAACAATGAATGCTATCATGAACAGTAATACCCTTCTTCAAGATCACAGAAACATTTACATTTCTAATAAACCACAAATGTCAATGTTGCAGCCATGAATATCTTTTCTTTTAATATTGTTTGTAATATTGGGTACACATCTCCTTGAAAACATACAACTGAAACGCTGCTTCAGACACTTGACATTTTTGCTGCTTTTCCGCTTACTGCATCAGGAAAAGCAGAACTTTTAAGAAACAAAAATTGCTAAGATACATTTCACAAGAAAGTTGCACTATAAGTGCTCTTTAAAACCCCAATAAATATATTAATGTAAAATATGTTAAATATAATAATTGTTGAATGTGAAATTGTGTGGTGAGATAACAAATATCACCAAATCACAGTTCTTTCAAGTGACAAGTTTGCTCACAATGTGTAGTGGATATTGAAAGAAAGGACACCAGAAGTGCCGCGTGTGTTGTTAAATGTGCAATGATTCAGCACATTTTGAAGAATATACATATAGTTCACAGTTGATATATTTTTGAAAATGTATTTATATAATTAATTGTAAAGAGTACTCTTGTTGCATGGTGTTGAGTACATGAATGTAATGATCAAGTCAATAGCCAGTTTGTTTCATAATAGTTATGCTTTATTATTTATCATTTGTTTGTTGCTGAGTTTCTTGAAATGATATTGCACTTGACAACACAAATGTTGTTTTTCTGTAACTACAATTATCTTCCTAGTTTTAGGAATGTTAAAGTATGCGAGGTCAGACACAGCATCATTCATACTAATATGTGCATGGCATTGTCATCATGTTTTAACAATAGTGCCTTCCAGTAATATAACTTCTAGAAATGCTCAATGACTTGTAGGGGTGAACATTTAATTATTTTAAAATAACTGAAATATGTATTAACTTTTGTGTTAATTAAATAATAATGTGTTGTAAATTAAATTAATTTTCTTGGACCCATCAAGTTCATATGAGTTGTAAGTTTGAAAATCACTCAAAGAAAGGAATGATTTTCAATTTACCTAAATGTTATATGTCAAACAGGATGGAAACAATAACACAATGTGTTTTACATTTGTTTGTTGTTGTGAATGATTTTCACATTGATTAATGTATTGTATGAGATGGAACATAAGGTGGTATAATTTTTAAAATGTGCAAATTTAGAAAATGATAAATATCATGAAACTATGGATTTGTTTATTTATTTTATTAATTCAAGAAAAATATTGCATGAAACTGCAAATTTTTACTTTTGTCCTGCTACTTGTGCTATCTCATGCAACTACAAGAGTGTTTCTTTAATTGCTCTGTAACAAGCTTTGCAAGCTTATTGCGATAAATCACTTAATATTTGGTTTTAATTGTTTATGCACTTTACTGTTTGTTATGTAAGTTGAATCCCACTTAGATTTTAATGTGTTGTGTACTTTCACCCTTATGTTACACATTATTTGGTTATGTATTTATCGTTAGTGGTCATAAATTTGGAAGTTTCCAATAAAGTTATGTTCATCAAGTTTAGAATCTATTATTTTCTTTTTTAATTTTAGAGTGTTTTCGAAAACACATGCCTTAAATTATTCAGGCAAAGTAATATATGCCCGTTTTATTTTCCTATATCTTATACCCCTTTACATTTCCCACATTTTATTAATTTTCATCTGAAGGAGACAGGGTAAAATGCGAACAAAAATGGTTAAATTGAAATTTTTCAGTCAGTTGTTTTCTTTTAAATATTTATATTATAAGTCAAGTTATTTTCCAATAATGTACTCTTTAGTGATTGTATAATTAAATACTTCATATGTACAGGGCTTAACTGACGCAGTTCATTCATGCCTGTTTTCATTCTTCAATGATACATTGCCTATAATAATATTGTCACACACGCACTAAAACTGCATTTGCCATGGAGTTCGAAAAGTAGAAACAAGATATAATACGAATCAATTCGTAGATATCTTCAGTTGAAGATCAAGTCCTTGTAGTTGTACAGAAGGTAGTAGTTTGAAACACGGCAGCTAGTAGTTGTGCGCACCACTGTAGTACGATCTGCTCTCTCAAAGTTAGCCTTGGTAGTCTCGTAGTATCTCCCATCGCTGAAACATTCCAGAAAAGTTCAAATCAATCAGTTGACTAACGAAATATCAGATTCCTTCCTACTTTAACTGTTTATCTTAATGTAACAATGTTTTCGATGGAATTTGGTAGGCGGCTTACTATAAAAACTAAGGAAATAAGAAAGACTTTCATTTTTGTACAAAAGAATCAGAAGCTTCATCTAGACTCAATATTCTCAGTAGACATAAAATCACATTATCCAACACAAAATATTCTATAAGGTGTATCTCAAGGCTCCTCCCTCTGCTCCTACCAAATAAGAGCATCCATTACAGCAGGCGCGAATACACAGGAGCGATGTTAGAAATTTCCCCATCCCCAAATATTTCATTAGCTACGAATTTTAACTTCTCACGAACCTTTCAAGTAACTTGTGGTGCTGAAACAGCACGCACTTTCTCCCCATATTTTCACGCGAAAAGTACTCAAAGTTTCGAAAAATTGTAAAAGACCTTTCAAAATCTATCTTTAAGTAAAAGATTCCATTAAAGGAAAACATCTTTATCTTAAATATTTTAGTTGTGTGAAGATTCTGAAAAAACTTTTGGAATTTTCCAAAAATTAGGGTTATGAACGAATATGAGACATGCACCATTCTCTTAAACGTTCTCCACAGTATCTAACAAAAAAATAATAATCAAAAAGATGTAGCCGTTTTTTTATTATTTGAAAAAATGTTCCAGGTGCTTCATGTAATGAACCCTCAGAGATTAAAATATCGGTTTAGCTGCTAGCGTTGTTCACAGACGCACAGACAGTCGTTTTGCCGTCATTCGACTTTTCGGTTTCAAGGATCTACAAAACATGGGTTCTGGCTACACCATTTGTTAGAGGATATTCTCCATAAATTTAGCAACGGGATTTATTCATTTTTTAGTTGCCAGAGTCCTGTACTAAGAATTTTTCCCCATAAAATTCGCTGTTTCTTCGCGCCGCATTACACATTCTCTCTACACCGCAACTATTTTTGGATAATCATTGAAACGAATAAAATCGCAGCATTAGGTGAGTTTAGCCTGCGTAATTCCATATAATCTGTAATATGACAGATTGAGCCAAAACATTTTGAATAAAAAACTATCATAATTTACCGATCACACTCGACTCACAGTATGAGATTTATATAGTATCTTTAGGATGGAGAAATGTAACGAAGGGGAGGATTTTGATAACCACAAACATTGCCAAAATGATCAATAAAATGTTTTTAAAATAGCCCTAAAAGCGAAGACAAGTGACGTAATTTTTTTTATCAAAACAAATTCAGATGCCTCACTCAAACTGTTAGATATGTTACTTATGTAATCGCAGTGGTGGATCGAGGGTGGAACATGCGGCCGCCAAAAGGCCCAGAGAAAAAAATTAAAATGGTACAACTGCAGGAAAAATAGGAATACTTAAGAAGAGAAAGAAAATATCTAACAAGAATAAGAATAAAAGAGAAAGTAATGTAATAAAAAGAAAAAGTAGAAAAGGTATCAAACATCTTTTGTGAAATTCTGTCGACTTTCTTCAGTATTGGACAGTAATGTTTCTATGTAAGCGAATGTTTCATTTGTAATGCGATATGCGTTTTTATTTAAATTCTCTCTGTTGACATCTGTATCACAGAGTGAAAAATATAATACCCTAATACTTCGTCGTTTTGCAGCTCTGAATTCTACGATTTTAATAAAAAAATATTACTATTTTTTTACTTAAAAATAGCAATTCATTAATTCATTAATCTTAACATTTCAATTTTGTTAAAATCATTTTATGATAAATATTTTACTTTGTATACAATTTAAATTATCTTTGTGTATATATGTATATAATATACATATATAATATACATATTATAAACGCACAGACATACAAATCCCCTCCCCCCCCCAAAAAAAATCGTCTCTGTATCCGTCCCAGATTACAGACTTCTCAATGCCTGCATCTGCTTCACAAAGGAAAGTGAGGGGACATTTTATTAACAGAAAATAATCTAGAAAGATCAAGTTGTGTTTTCAATTTTTAAGATAGATAAATTTGTAATTGGGGAAATAATTTGGCCAAAGCGTGGCAAATTTAGCAAAGAAAGGGGAGGGTTTATTTAATAGAATATAAACAGCTTTGTTTATAATTGCAGTAATTCTGAAAAAGGATATATTTTTCAATTGTTGCTATTGTGGTGATGAAAACGCAAATAGGAGAATATTATGTATGTATGTGCAGCACAAACGTTGTATTTGATCGGCATATTGTAAGTATATTTATTTCAGAGGACGTTC